AGGTTTGATAGGGAAGATTGCTTCAGAATTCATTGATGAAGTTACTTCATAGAAGTAAATTCATATTTCACTCACTTCCAGACGTCTGAATAATCTGAAATTTTGCAGACATATTAAGTAACAATGACAATACAATAATTTAATGACTAAGAATTAATACTCGCTCTAGGATCATCACAACTCGTGATCAATACGTGTTGCTTAAGCTTTCTTAATCTATACATATAATAAAACTGTAAATAGCAGATGTCTGTACATTTTATATTTTTGTAATAAAAGTGATTGAGGGGTACTAAAAATAAGTAATTAAATACATTTCTACCATTTTTAGAATTTTCTGTCTGTCTGTCTGTCTGTCTGTTTGTTTGTTAACGTATCACGTTTAAAGTACTAATTTATATCATAAGAATTGTTAAGGAAATTCTAAAGTGTACCTTCGGGTTACATTTAGTCTTTATTTCATTAAAATCGGTTCATTCCATCAAAAGTTATGATAAATATTCTGAAGTATGGGTAGGGAATTTGCTTAACGGTGGCTTTGTTTGAGTCATCAAGTTGATGTTAGCAGCACCATCTCTCTTTAATTAAATATATACATATAATAAAAATGATGATAACATGTTGTGTCTCTTTCTGTACATTGTATATATATTTTGGTGACTAAAATCATTATGGGGAACTAAAAATAATTAAATAAGTACATTTTTATAATTTTTAGAATTGTCTGTCTGTCTGTTTGTCTGTTTTTATATGAATGCATCACGTCTAAAGTAAACATCTTTTCTTTTTTCAAAGAAATCGTTAAGAAAATCATAAAGCGTATCTTCAAGTTACATTTAATCTTTGTTTTATTAAAATTGGCTAATTCTATCGAAAGTAATGATTTTTATTTTAAAATGTAGGTTCGAATTTGTTCAATGGCGCCATAAAAATCTCAGAAATAGTAATAAAAAAATTTGTGTGTAAAAAAACGTTCCATAATAATTAATATATTTATACTTAAAACATAAAAAGAGATTTAAAAAAGGATGTTTTCTCACACAACGGACGTAATAGATGGAGTTGTACAAATTACAAACTTTTCTGATTTGCTGTGTTGAGATTTTTCGCCGATGAATCGTATTGAGACTTACTGAAGAAATTTGTATCTATCGAAGCCATACAACGGAACCCGAAGAAAAATAACAAAATTGCAACGAAATGTCGTGATATTGTATTTATAATATACGCAAAATCAGTACTGCCATTTTAGCGCTTTGGGAACTAGATTTAGCGCTTTTTTGGAATGTATAGCGCGCATTTCGAAATTTTAGCACCTAGCACTTAATCCAGCGCTTTTTGGTGTATTTAGCACACATTTCAAAATTGTAGCGACTAGCGGGTTATTAACTCTTTTATAGCAGCACTGTTAGTCCACATTACCGATAATAATAATAATGACCTTTATTATTTTTTTCCACAAATAGTAAATTGCAGTTTATCTTTTTCAAACATATTTTTTCCACAAAACTAAGAGCATGGGAGACGAGTCCAAACTAGGACACCCTGTGTGTGCTATGGATCTCCCGGCTTCCCCTTTAGGATGATCAACTTGATTTTTTTATCGACGACTATAAGCGGGGAAATCCCCTTCATTAAAGTTTTCGTTCATGGTTTTGGCAACGCATTTATTTTGCTTTATTCAGTTTTAGTCAGTTGTTTAGAGCACAGCTAAGTTAAAAGTTACTTAGAGTAGTACTAACTACTGTTGACAGCAATTGCCATAATTATAAGTCGATGTCCTGCGAAGTATTGATACATCAAAAAATATTGTCAGAAAAAAACTTAATGTTGTTTTCTTTATTATAATTATATCTTGAATTATAAATTATAATAAAAAACACAAACTTTGTTTGTAGTTAATTTAGCGCGAAATCTAGGGCTTTTGTAAAGCGCTGTTTTCATGAAATCTAGCGCTTTTTGTGTTGTCCTAGCGCTGAATGAGTTTTTTTTGATCTGGCAGCACTGCCAAAAAACCCTCTATTAAGAAGTAACTTTCCTTTCAGTTTTAAGCGCGTTCAGTTCCCAGTTACAGTCAGCGTGTGTTATGCGATGACCGTAAATAAAGCGCAAGGTCAAAATTTACGCGTTGTAAGAGTGGACCTCGGTACTGACTGTTTTGCACATGGCCAACTCTATGTTGCTTTGTCCCGCGATAGTAGCCCCCGTAATCTTTTTGTATACACCCCGTCTAAGTCTACTTCTAACGTCGTTTACACCGAAGCTCTATCATAAACGACTTAGAACTTTGATGATAATGATTTATTTGTTACCACTTATTGATACAGTAATGATATAAATCGTTTAATATTCTCTTACCTAAACGACAAATTCTTTATGTAAAATCTATATACGCGAGCTACGCCGCGGGCACAGCTAGTCCCTAATAAAATTATAAAGAATCGAGTGAGAAACTAGCTTATTTTTTTCGACGTGATATAAAGGCATTTAAGCATAGGCCAGTGTTATTAGTGCCTAGCTGCTATAATTATAGCGAGATGTCCTCGTAATTTTGACATTTAATTTAAGCCCATCTCCGATTTTATCGCATTTGTGTACGGCATGGATAAATTAGGACGAGCATGGATCATGGAACATGGTAATTAGGACATTACCACTGCAGTAGTTGGAAATTATCAAAATAATATATGAATCTCTGTCAGTTGCCTAATTTCAGCCAGGAGAAGGGCATAAACGTTTAAAAAAAGGTTGGTTGTACCGCATTTTCAATGACGTACTAATATAGGCGTAAGGTGCCGTGTGCCGGCGGCGTAAGAGACCCTATTTTGTCTTACATACATACATAAACACTCACGCCTGTCACCCAGAGGGGTAGGCAGAGACTATAGACTTCCATTTGGCACGAACCCGACACACCTCTCTCGCTTCCTCCACATCCATATACCTACGCATACACGCTCGTCGGTTAAAGGTACTCTTGATTTGGCCCATTTTCAATATATCGCCAATTTGGTCGATAAACTTTCGCCTAGGGCGTTACTTCCCGACTCTGCCGTTCACCTCTGCAACATAAATTTGTTTTGTCACTCTTTCTTCATTCATTCTTTCTACATGATCACACAACCGAAGCATTCCTTTCTTAATCCTGGTCACAACATCATTTTGCAAACCACACTCTTCTCTTATCACACAATTTCTCACTCTGTCATTCAGATTCATTTGTCTTGTGAGTGTCGTAATACTTGATTTTTTTTATAGGAGACCGACGAGCATACGGGTCACCTGATGGTAAGTGACTACCGCCGTCCATAAATAACTGCAACGCCAGGGGAATTGCAGTTGCGTTGCCGGTCTTTTAGAAAGGAGTAAGCTCTTTTATTGAAAGGTCCTGGTCCGGAAAAATCGTCGGTGGTAAACTATTCCACAGAGAGGTCGTACGACCAAGAAAACTCCTAGTAAAACGTAGAGTTGTGGACCGCCAAGCATCCCGATGGTATCATCATTTATTCATCAATAATCAATATACATTTTGGCTCTCCTACATTTAATTCCGCTACCATCGTGATGTCAACAGACGAAACGCAGAAGCAGAGCTTCTACTTCACGCTGGTATTTTGTGAGGGCGTAGTACCACCCCGGCTCGAGCCGGCACATTTGTGCAACAGCAAAAGCTGCCTTGTGGCTCTACCACTGTTACACAATAGACTTTGAGAAATGCTAGAAAAATATTATGGCTTCCGACAGATATAACAAAATATATATTCCGCAGTATAATTTATGGTTTAAGTTTAATTTATGGATGATAATAACCCCTGGGAATGAGTTGGTCGCAACCAAACTATTGCTAATTTGTTTTGTGTTGTTAACTGTGTAACATTCATGATTGTATGCTGTTATTTAAAACAAAAGTCCCGCTGGATTTCTTGCTGGTTCTTCTCAGGACAGAGGTTTTTTTCCTAACCAGTAGTAATTAAGCAAGAGTGACTTTTGATAAGTATTATTTATAATCTTTATTGAAAAAAAAGTTTCTGTTTCTATAACTATCTCGTTTATGCCGAAGTAAAATATCCAGTCCGGCAGCGAGCAGCAGCGTTAAAGGTGCGAGACTTTTGATACTGCGATCGTCAACAACTTTGATACTCCCTACAACGAGCGAGGCCTATGTCCAGCATTGGACTTGTACAGGCTGATGAAGAAAACTGAATACAGTTATATATGCAGTACAAGGCGCCCTCCGCTAGATGGAGTCACTTTTTTTTTATAGGATACGCCTCCCCCTTGGACTCTACTGCCTCTGCCCATCTATGGTTCAGGTAAACAAGAAGGCCACTAATCAGCTGGTGATCCTCAAGGTACCGCATGAGCTGGCAGTTAATAATTGCAGATCCATTATTTTGGAGAACAAGGAGGTGATCGCGATAGGCCTATAGTTGGACGGGTCTGAGCGGTCACCTTTTTTAGGGATCGGGTGGACAAAAGCTGTCTTCCATGAATTCGGGACTACGCCTTGCGAGTAGCCAATCCGACCGGTGCCAACTCCGGAGCACTCATTTCAGGGGACACAACTCTCTCAGCACAATTGGGGGGATTTCGTCAGGCCCACTCGAATTCTGGATGTCCAGGGAGAGGAGTGCTTTGCGAACCGAGTGCTGTGAGAACAGCACATTCGGCATGAAGCACTCACACCGCGGGATGGTCGGCGGTGTTTTCCCCCCGTCATCAAGAGTCGAGTTGGACGCAAAAAGGGAGCCTAAAAGGTCGGCTTTGTCTTTTGCATGTTGAGCCAGTGAGTCGTCCTCCCTGTGTAGAGATGGTAGTGATGGCTTACAGAAATTCCCTTGAACAACTACCTGGTAAAATATGCAGCAAGTCAATTAATACATGTGAGAAAAGACAGTGTGTTTTCTCGACAGTTAAATAGTGTTTTTTAAGCAGCGGCCAATGTACAGAAGTCTTGTGAAGAGCTGTAATACTGTTGATGCTGACAAATGGATACTTACTTCCACATGGATCCTAGTGACTTGCTTAATTCTGCGTTATGCAACGATGGCCGCTGCTCGGAGAGCCGACGCCGCATTGCTTGTGCAAACACCATGAACGCGTTCATTGGACGTTTCACGTGCTCCCGGCGCATGCATCCACCACCTCTAACAATTAAATACGTTTAATTAATACACTTTTTTAATATCAGTTTTGTTTTAAACAAAAACGTCTCAGATATACAGGATTATTTTGCAATAACGGACCAAATTTGCAGAGAAGGTTAAGAATAAGTAATATAGGCAAATGGTGAAGAAAAGTTAATTAAAAAATATCTCAAACATTCTGTCCTTTTTATCTTTTAAATTCAAAATGCGTGGTGATGCATTATTTTAACTGATTTGACTGCGCACGCACACACACTAAAGGTCAATCGGTAGGCAAAAACGTTGTTGCCCATAAATCACATTTTTGGGATAGTTTCAAATAAAAGTAGAAGCCTTATTTACTCCTATTTTCAAAAACTGCAATAACGGTAGTTATATCGTTATTTATATATTTGCAATTAAGTTTAAAATTTTACTACTCATTCAAAATTAACCCTATATCAATCGCTATGTTACCAATTAGATCATGAAATTTTATCCCTTGATTTCTTGCGCTTCACACAAGTCATCTTATGATGGATCATATACTAGGGGACGATACACACTGCGTTTTGTTGATGTTGTGACCAGGATTAAGAAAGGAATGCTTCGGTGGTTTGGTCATGTAGAAAGAATGAATGAGGAAAGAGTGAAAAAGCAAATTTATGTTGCAGAGGTGAACGGCAGAGTCGGGAAGGGACGCTCTAGGCGAAAGTTTATCGACCAAATTGGCGATATATTGAAAATGGGCCTAATCAAGAGTACCTTTAAATGACGAGCGTGTATGCGTAGGTATATGGATGTGGAGGAAGCGAGAGAGGTGTGTCGGGATCGTGCCAAATGGAAGTCCATAGTCTCTGCCTACCCCTCTGGGTGACAGGCGTGAGTGTTTATATATGTTTGTAAGACAAAATAGGGTAAAGGATTCTCTTACGCCGCCGGCACACGGCACCTTACGCCTATATTCAGTACGTCATTAAAAATGCGGTACAACCAATATATATATATATATATTCATTTTCATTTTATTTCTTTCTTTCTTCTACATGAAGCATTCACCACCCCCCTACCCCGCTTCCCGGTGGGTAGCCCAAGGGGCTACTTTGGGCGCAAAAAAAATATTAACAGATAGCATAAGCGTTAATACCTATTTTATCGTTACAACTACGCAAGGAACAGTTCATTTCTAACCTGTGTAAGAATATTTAATGAATCCGGGTGAGGTATACTTGAACTTAGCACGTATCGAAAGGTTAAGTTTACTTAAACAATATGAAACTTGCACTTGAACGGCTGCGGCGGCACAGTCAAATTGGTTTAGCTTTCGGCGTGCGCCCGATAATTACTAGCCAACGGAGCCCATCAAGCGATGACTATAAAGAAAATAAGTTACGAGTAACCCTTTATGTATATACGCAGTAAACAGTGGTGCCCCGGCGCATGCACATTTGTAAACAGTCCAAGTGGTGCGGCCTCACGTCATTTTACGCTCGTAAACCGCTCTTATTTTATTACTTTTTTATTTTCTAGTGCCGCGTTCGGGTTTCCTCGAGATCTCAATGCTGACAATAAATTATAACTTTTTACAAACGCTGACACGCCACTAAAAGTCGATCGATTACTAACGGATCACTCGGGAACCAATACGAGGCATAATCGTTGACGGCTTCGGCGAACCGACAGCGATTTCCTCCTTTATTAGTGAGAACGATTTCTTGTAACGAAATAATATTTTCGAGAAATTTATGAGGCTGGAATGCTGTTACCTATACGTACTATAACAAGAATTACCTTACTTTAAGTTTATGAATGTAAGTCAATGAAGTAACAATTAAACTAATTGTAGAGCAGAAATTAATTTTTAACTATAGCAAACAAACCTTAGTAGCTGCTATTTGAAATATGACCGCTCGGGATAAACGTATGTTCAATCCCTGTACGGACAAATAATAATAAGAATGCTAAAAAAATATTATTTTCTGTTGGTTGTGTGTTGTAGCTAAGCGATGTTGAGAGTGATTGTGAGTCTTAGGGCCGCGATTTCGATTCTCGCACGTAAAAATAACTTGAAGAGTTAAAATAATTTGTCGTTTTGATTGATGATTGTTGATGTGCTATTTATATTTGTAAAAAAAATTATAATACCTATATAAGAAATTCTTAAGATTATCATATTTGTGTATTTATTACTTATAGTAATAAATATTTATTGCAAGACTCAACGCCATAGTTCACTCCATAACTCTGCACGTAGAATGAGATTTAGATAAATTGTGTTTTCATTTCACTGCCGACCTTGAGATAAAATTCAAATTATTGATATTATTACGTCACGCTGCCCGGGAGTTTGTCTGGGTAGGTACTATCCTCTTACCTATTTCTGCTGTCAAGCAACAATGCCTGCACTGCTGTGTCCAGGTTTGGCATTCCATGTTAGTTCTCAGAGGTGACAACGTATTTGTAGCCTTCATCACATGAAGTTGGTTGAGTTTCTATGAACTGCAGAGGCCGCTAGTCGATTTACTATTAGGTAGTCGTTTGTAATAATATGAGTTCGTTTATAACTTAAATTTTATAAAAATAATTAAAAATTAAAAAATTTGTACCTCAATATAAATTATTAAGGATAACTCAAAAACTATTGGTCAGACTTTGAAGCACCAGCTTTCAAATAAAAGGACAATCATCGAAATCGGTTCACCAATAATAAAGTTATGAGGTAACACACATAAAAAAGGACATACAGTCGAATTGAATACCTCCTCCTTTTTGGAGTCGGTAGAAAATAACAACACCGTGAACGGCGAATTCATGTGAATATGAGGGAATAGACAATCACTATTTTATTACATATCATGTATTTGCAGAAAAATTAGTTACTAAGAATATTTTTATTAGTTCCGTAAACACTTCAGCAGTTGATTAAAATTACTTTCATCGTTATTTCAATTCAGTATTAATTATGCGAACTGCTTGGATGCGAGCAGTTTTTGTAGGGCGGCATCAAGACCTACCGCGCGCCGCCATCTGGTTAGTAACATCTTGGCTCTTGACAATCAGAGATACTATTTGTAACAAGCTTCATACTCCTGAACTCTCAATATTTTATACTTCCCAATATTTCTGATATAAGTATAATCATTACCATCATTATGTGATACATTAATTTATGAATTGGCATAAATTAATTTAAAAATGTTCGTGGTAATTTTAGTCTCTATTCACTACATTCGTCTCGTAACCTCATTAGTTTGATAGCAAGTGCATTCATTCTGCAAAAACGAGTTCTAGCTAGCGCTCAAATATATGTGTAATGTCAAGAAAATTGGTTTTTTCCTAGTTTAAATGATATTCGTGGTGTTGGTGCTGTCACTGTACCCTTTCTTCAACCTTGTAAAAACGCAATATATAATTTTGGATTGTTTTTGATAAGTGCGTATAGCTGTTAACCAAAATATAGACGTAATCCCCCCATTCGATAGCTGCGAAGAGGACATCATGTTATGTAGCTAAGAAATATTTAATTTATAATATTCAATTATTTTAATCCATAAAATGTTTAATATAACGTATTATGATTAAAATTACTAAGTTGTAATTAAAACTTAATTGTAAAAAAAAAGTTGAATAAGAAATGAAGTTCGATCACCTGTGTTATCAATAATATAATCAAGCAGGAAGTGGAAGTTATCCTTGCTACAGCAGTGTTTCGTAATATTAGGGATTATTAAGGATTTTTATAAAATTAGAGTAACAAACGAGCTAGCATTCTACTTCCTGCTAAGTAGCTACTATAGCCCATAGACAACAAATAACGAAAGGCAAGGAAAAACTTCAAACAAAGTAGGCCTTCGATATGTTGGCCTCTTTTATCGCATAACTTTATAATATAACCACGTATATATTTATCACGCTATAATAACAGCGTATTAAACAGACATGCTTTTGAAGATAGTGGCTTGAATTTGATTGTTGGTGATGCTCTTCTAGTCTTGTAAGTGTTATTATTTTTTTTCCATGTGGGAAAAAAAGAGAAATAAAATACATTCTTCATCTTTATTACTTACTAAAAGTCCACTGGAAAATTGTAGAAAAGATTCGCCGTGACAGGCGGATCGACGATCGCAGCACCAGATATATCGCACCTTTGACGATGCTGTCCGTTAAAGTTGGTAAAAATTACCTCGCATACATCCGATCGATAAAATGTTATGTGGTCACCACTAATCCCGGCACCACTACTTACAACACCATTGGTGGTGCTGGCTTTAGTGGTGACGTTGATAGTGCACGCAATTGAGGCAGGGCGGGAGGTGCTCTTCAAACTAGGTAAGACACATCATTTTATTTTATCGAGCGGATGTACGCGAGGTTTTTTTAACAACTTTAATATAATTGATTTCCACAAAGTAACATCTGATTCTATTAATTGATGCTGTCCATCACCAATCTGGATATTTTATGTCTGACGATAAAGAGATGGCAAAAAAGCTATCGGAAGGCATAAGAATTTTTGTAATTTCCCATAGTCTCGAACGACGCCAACACAGATTCTTTTATGCCGCCGTCACACGGCACGAGCAATCAAATATTTCATTAATCGGATATTTGTATGTCAAATTTGGTAATTAAAATTGTGATCCTCTAACTGCGATTGTAATGTCAGTACTTAGTTCCAGTCCGAGTTCAACTGATATGTGTATCTATGAAATTATCTCACTTTTTTTTTAATTTTTGAAGTCTGTTTGCTAATACGTAATGACGAAAATCAGATCGCAAAATACAGATTTTGTTTCTTGGACAGGCTTCCTCAATATGTCACCAATATTAAGTATAGATTTTTAAGCACTAAACGAAGTAATAAGTTTTTATTCATTTAAAACTAATAAAATACACATAAAATGGTATGACTGTAAAAATTACCTCTAACAGCTGCACCTACCTAGTAAGGCAGTCGTAGGTTACTGTGAAATTAAGAGTAGAGCTGTAAATCATACTATGCATGACTATAAAACTTTTTT